CAGTCACAACTGATCAAGGTCGTCAGTTTGAATCTGAACTTTTTTCTTCCTTGACTAAGTTTTTGGGAACACAGAAAACCAAGACGGTAGTTTATAATCCAAAGTGTAATGGAGCTATAGAAAGGTTCCATAGAAGCCTGAAAAATACAATTAAATGCCACGTAACTGAGCGCTGGACGGAGGTTTTATCAACAGTTTTGTTGGGCATGCGCTCAAGTTTAAAGGAAGATATTGATTGTGCACCAGTTGAAATGGTGTATGGTTGTTCGATACGCCTTCCAGGTGAATTTTTTCGCAACTCTTTTTCTAAACCTGTAACATCTCATTCTGATTTTTCACAGAAACTTCGTGAAAAAATGAGAGACTTGCGCCCTGTTCCTCTGAATACTCGTGGTGCCACTCGTCCAATCTTCATCAGTAAAGATCTGCAGTCTTGTAGCCACGTTTTTGTCAGGATAGACAGTGTCCAACGTCCCTTGGAACAGCCCTATAAAGGCCCATTTAAAGTAATTTCACGAACTAACAACGTTTTTGTTCTAGATCTTGAAGGACAGAAATCTAATGTTTCCATCGACAGATTAAAGCCTGCCTATTTTCTATCGGATGAAGTTTCAGACTCTACCAATCAATCTCCTATGGTAAAGCCAGAAGTAACTACTAGGTCTGGAAGGAAAGTTCGATTTGTCCTGCCATTCCAAGCCTAAACGTCTTACAGACTGGAAGGGGAGTACTGTAGAGTTCACTAGACCAGACCGGCGGATCGGAATACCGAACTTGCGACCTCTCATCCTGATATTCTTTCTGCTGTCAGAAATTAACTTCAACTGACTGCAGGATACTGATGTCGTAATTATTCATCGCACATTTTCTCCAGTATATATATGCATCTGTTAAACCACAAAACCATCTGCCTCAGTTTCCCCACCACAGCCGGACAAAACATCTGAGACTTCGAAGTAGACGCCCACCCAAGCTCAAGAAACTCCAACTGCTGCTAAAAAAGTCTTTCCAGTCAAGAATGAAAAAGTGCTCATCCGAGGTCTCCCAGATGATTTTTATATCGACGAGATCTCTCTTGAATTAGGAAAACCAAGCATCGAAGTTTCCAAAGTAGTCCAGTTCAAGAAGAAAGTGGGAGGAGCCTATAGGCCACTCCCCCGCTACCTTGTTGTCACTCCTCTATTGGTGAATCAGACCAAGATCTACAACATCCAAAGTTTAAAGCAGTTCCCGATCGCCGTAGAGAAGTACCGAGGTGGAAGTAGACCAATACAGTGTTTCAGATGCCAGGGCTTTGGACATTCTCAACGTAGCTGCACAAAAGATGCGAGATGTATGAAGTGTGTCGAAGGGCACTTCTCGTACCAATGCAAAAAACCCAGAGATACCCCGGCCAAGTGCTGTAACTGCCTGAAAGATCACACTGCTAACTTTACTGGGTGCGAGGCTCGCCCCAGTAAAGGGAGATCATCGAACAGGGATGCTACCCCAACTTCCAGTGCTCATCGACTTGTTAGCCTCATCAAAGAATTTCAAGAATTGATGAAAGAAGTGCTAAACCTGCTCAAGACTTTAATCAAGGGGAATACCCCTTCCAATTAATGTTCTACTGCCTGCAACTTATGCCTCACCTCATTAAGGACTTTTAATCTGAACTTTAAGCTTAGAACTTTGAATCACATATGACCTTTTAGTTTTATGTCTCAACAGAATCGATGAATCGATTTTTGGTGCTAAGCACCACCTCTGCCCCCCATCTCCATTCCACCTCACTACTACTCATCATCGAATTACTGCTACAGATGAATCGGTTAATGCCGCTTCGCGGCAGCGTACCGAGATTTATATAATTTCTACCATTCTACCACAAAACCACTACTACTCTGTTATACACTATTTTGAATTTTAATTTGTTTTTAAGTTAGTCACGCAGCTTTTGTGACTCTATCATTTTCCAGGAAAATAAAAGTGTTTAATTTTATCTTGTGATTGTTTTAATGTTGTCTTTGGTTCCGTAAAAATGTAGGAACGCTATTTCTCGTTCCCACATAATGGTGACCCGGTGAANATACATACATACATACATACATACATACATACATACATACATACATACATACATACATACATACATACATACATACATACATACATACATACACATACATACATACACATACATACACATACATACACATACATACATACACAATAATAGAATTTGTTTAGGCTTAAAATAGATAAATAGTTAATAGTTGGCAAACTAAAGTCTATTTTAATTATCAATTAAACGTGACAAATAAATGTAAAAACTGATTTTAACATCTTAACGTAACTACTCATATACTTACTTATCCTGTCTTTTAGTTCTACAATAGTGCCTTGCATTAAATCTAAGTAATTTTTTAAATTTAATTTTTTTCTTCAAAATGTATTGTTTACTGCAGTGTATTCTTGTTCCGTAATGTAGTTACGTAACAAAATTAGTGTATTCTAGTTAAAGTTTACAGCAATTGAAATTCCTTGCGTTTTGGAAAAATTAAATTTGAAGTTCATTGGCTCGCTTAATTTACAATAGTAAATAAGTGTGCATTTTGATTTCGACGAAGTTGCTAATCTGATTTATTATCTATAAAAAGTGCCTGTCAGATAAATAGCATAATTGTTTTTTTTTAATGCTAGAATATGTTGTATTAAACATATTAATAACAAATTCACCATGATATCATATGAACTGGTGCGAGACAGAAACTAAAGCTACTCTAACTTAAACTGCACGAGTTTTAAGTAAAGGCGGACCAGCTGGTCACTGGGGGCGGCTAGTATAAATATGAAAACGAATATCTCTCTCTGTCTGGATGTATGTTCGCTAATAACTCGAGAACGGTTGCACCAATTTCGCTACTGTTTCTTTTAGCAGTTTTCAAATTTTTAAGGGTTGGGTTTTACGGGTTTTAATGTTGTGTGTGTGTGACAACTTCAGAAAGAAGTCGCCCACACATGGTCTTTTCACCCGATAAGACGAAGATGAGAGTTAAGACGACAGCAGCATATAGATGTCCTTACAAATGAAACAAATCTAATAAAGATAATTAACATAATTCCAAAGAAAGCTAATACTAGAGATAATTCATTGATTTATTGATAACTTAATCAGTTTATTCCTTGATTTATCGATTCTCTGATTTAGTGATACCCTGATCTGTTGATTCTTTGTTTCAATAGCTCATTGATTTATTGCCATGATTATTCATAGGCTCATTCCTTCACTGGCTTGCTAATTTAATTATTTTCTCCTTTAATAGTTCGCTTTTGATAAGATTTGTAAAAGTATTTGTTCACCCATTCGATCATTCTGGATTCGCAGATTTATTGAATATTTCCTTTTTTTTAAACTCTCACATACATTAACTATCTCGTTCATTGTTTCTCTCATTCACTGATTCTATCCTAGACATTACTCACTTATAAACTGCGTCATTTTTAGAAAAACGTCAGACTAACGTTCCAATATTTTAATATTGTGGTGGACCAATCTCCTATACGTACCAGATTTCGAACTTAGCAGTCATCCGAAAAGCCGTGGAACAATAGTTGCATCACTATCGAATTGTCTCCAGCATTGCTCGTAGAGACAATCCGCACTTGCTGGGGACATCCATTTTCCGAAGTTCATAAGCCGTTTAAGTTCTTTGGATATCAGTTTAAGTTAGACAATCATGCTAAATCATGCAAAAATATTTAAGGGACATCGTGTTTAGATGGGGCACTTCTCTCCTTATTAGCACACTACGTTGTGCTTCATCTTCTGGTCAGCTGCTTTATTTAATTATGTGCAAGCTGCACCTTCTTCGGTTTATTTATTTTATGATTTTAGCTTAATGTAGTTTTTTTGAGAATTCTTGAGTTTTCTTCAAATTCCTTATTTTTTGTGTCTCCTCATGATTAGCAGAAATAAAGTTGCATGGTTGAACTTATACGTCTCAAGTTCAGACCGAGGTGTTGTTTAAAATTAAAATAACACAACTGCGTGTTTTTATTAAATATTCGAGTAGTTATCTTGTATAGACTCTCAATATTTGGCCATTTTGCTTCACCAGTATACTCTATACGACTCGATGCCATTTGTTTCGTTATTTGTCAACTGCCTGATTCCCAAGCAGATGCATCAGTTACTGCTGCATGGTTAAAGTTGATGTGATACTGAATTTAGATCAGAAGAAAATAATTTTCGATCGTGGGTCTAGTTAAAGCTTACAAACCAAGCTTTTTTCATCCTGTTGAAATTGAATCCAAGTTGGAAAGAATTTCTTTACTTGCCGATTAGATCTCAATGGTATGGTCAAATTTTTTTTAATTATTATTTTTGTTTTGTTTTATTCGACATGGAATGAGCTTCACTTTAATGGGGCAAAGAAATCATGTCTTTTTATTTCACGCTTTAAATTATCTAAAAACTTCAAAAACGCTGATTTTAACATGTTTCAGGCTGCATCCTTCGAAAATGTAGGATGTAGTTTTGAACTGTGGATTTTGAGTTCTTTGACCAAAAGTTTTGTGCCTCTTTGTTATGTTCAGGAGCTTTCACTTATCAGAGCACACATATTAATTTAATATTCATCCAGATTTCAAATATAATCATCGAGTCCAAAAAACGAGTTCGAAACATGGCCGCTTTCATAATAAATTATTTTAAAACAATCTAAAAATATTCAAAATAAGATTAAAAAATGCTAATTTTTTTTCAAGCCTAAATTTTATTGTGCTAAATATTTTGATGCAACACTGCTTTGCACAATAATACAATAAATTATTCCAGGAATCTTTTAAATACATATTACACAAACAAAAGAATTCATGATAACACAAACAAAATACTAGAAATTATGAAATTTCGTTCAGTTTTCATAGAAATATTTTAAATCCGGATAAATCTTTTTGTTTAGTTTGCTACAATAATTATTTTAATCTTGTTGTATATAGTATAATTACTGTTTTATATAAAGTGTAATTTTTGCAGTTCTGACATTTTTTTAATATTGTAACAAAAAGTGTCAAAATTTATATTGAGGAAATGTTCATTAAAATAACTTTTTTTGCCCTCATTTTCTACTCTTCTGGCTTGAGCTTCATAAATAAAGGTAATTAAGTTAAATATGTGTTAGCTTTGTTCTAGAATTTTAAACATAACCGTGCAAAATTATATACATTAACAAATTTTAAAAAGTTTTGCCAAAAACTTAATTTTTTTAATGAAGAACTAGCATTACTCTTTTAAAATTAAAATCAAAAGCATTTTATACTTTCTGCGTTTCTGTTAATGTTTTATAAATTTAAAAATTACGAATTCAAAGCTAGTATTTTGAAATTCGTATTTATTTTTTTCTGTAAACAATAACAGTGCTAAAGATTTCAAAACGATACTTTTATCTTAAAAACTGAAAAAAAGCACAAATTTTTAATTTAAGCATGGCTTTACTTAGTTTTTCTTAAGGAGAAACAGAAAATCACTAAACAAAAGGAAAAGATTTATAAAAAAATCTGTAAAAGTTTCATAGAATGTTTTTGAATTTAAAGAGTTCTTTTCAGAATTACAATTTGTTTGAAAATCTTTGAAATTTTAAATGATTTTTTCCGCAATTTTTTTTCTTCATTTTTTTGTTTTAAATAATAATTATTTAACTATACTTACAGAAAAATTGAGCTCTTTCGTAATCTTCATTTCATAAGCTCGTACTGACTTGATATCAAAAGTGATGCAAAATGAATAAGTATAATAATAAAAAAAAAATAAGAGGGTGAAAGATAACATGTTGCCAGATATAAATCTCAACATTTGTATCGAAATTTTTAATAACACTGAAGAGATAAAAGTTGTTTCTAATTCAAAGTTTCTATAGTTTCTAAAGCTTCTAGCTCCCTATAGCTACACTTAACGGAAATGGTTAGTTGTTTTAGTACATGTGAATAATTGACACTCTACCGTATATTATGTAGTGTCTTTGTTATATTTTTCTTTTTACTTGAATACTGTTATATTTGTCACATAAATGAATAATAGTTTTTTGTGATTATTGTTTTAAAATTGATATTTTTTGCTTAATTTCAATCGCATTGAATTAAGATTGGAGTGCATAAATTTATGCTAGTTTTGTGAAATAGTTTCATTTATGAAGAAACATATATTTTTCCAATGAATTCCAAATCCTACATTTTAGTTCTATAGTAAGTAAAAAGTATTTTTTTCATATTTTTATTTACCGTTCTTTCCATTTCTGTCCTTTTATATACTGAATTCTACTATAAACAGAGAAAAGAAAAATTATTCTACATTAATAACGCCTTTTCGTATTTATTCTACTGTTTGAAAGAATTAATAATGTATTTCATCTATGCTAAAAGGTATTAAATAAATAAATATAAAAAGAAAAATGATGAAAAATTGAAATACTTAAAATAAATCACAATTTGCTATGCAAAATGTATTTTTGTCTCCATTTGCAAACGATATCCTTAACGAATAAACATCTTAGCATCTAATAGAACTAAAATGATACAAATGGCTAAACGATTATAAAGAACTTCATAAATTCAATTAAAAATAAAAGTAAGTAAATGATTAACTCATCAATTCACCATTTTAACTGGTAGTTAAGCTTTTTGCCGTAGCTTGGCGCTAAAACCGTTTGATCCAGACTGTTGCCATTTTGGCGCACTTCGATAAAGAAAAAGCGTAGTCTTTTTATGCGTTTTAGCATAGAGTGGAAACTCTTGACTTATTTCTCTGCGTTAATAAGTAAAATTTCTTCTCATTCATTACTTTTTAATTGTGTCGTACATTTTGCATCCCTGACCTTAAAAAATCTTTTTTTGAAGTCCAGGTATGACTTTCATGTCTTTCATTAAGATAAATATATTAACAAAATGTGTTTACATAAAGTTATAATAGTCATATATTTTTTCAACTAAATTAATATTTTTAATCAAATTTTAAGGAAAAAAAGTTATAGAGGAGAAGCAACTACGGGGTTTGGTGAGCGGAGTGAACAGAAGGCTAGTCAATTGAAAAATGTTAGAAGCATGCGAACGCTATCGGAAATAAATTATGCATTAATAGACTGTAAATTTTCGAATAAGTAAACTATAATAAAAAACGTTTTTCAAAAGTGAGAATTAATAATAGTCTTAATTTGACGTGCATTATACATAAACATGTTATTTGACATGAAGTTTTAAATTTGAGTTATTGTTTTAATTAAATTTTTATTCTAGTTTCTTATTATAAAAATTAAACAGAAAATTCTAAATAAATATATATTCCGAATAGGCTAAAATGTAAATTTTTGATGTTAAAATATTATAAGAGACGGTTATTTAATGTTTACATTAAACTTTATACGCTTGTTTAATTATTTAACTAATATATTTAAAATGAACTGTGCTACTTGCTACAGTTTAAAAGTTTTTCAAAAATATCGCCTTTTGACCAAATATTTTTATAAAAACGTATATTCTAATCAATCACTTACTCAATCAATTATTTAAGGTGCTAAATTAAAATTAAATTAATTACTTAAAGTGTTTAAAAATCAAAGAATATTAGAAGATTATTCAGTTTGTGAAAGTTAAAAAATGGTAAAAAAAATCGTTAAATTACTTCTCATTGTCAGACACCCCTATTTCACTAACTTATGCATTATACTTATAATTACACTGTTTTCCAATACTGTTTAAAAATGTTTAAAATAGTTTTTATACTGTTAAACTATTTGCAAATGCTTTTTAAGTGGATACTGCCAAATTAAAAGAGAAAAATTAAAAAAAATATCAAATTATCTTGTTGTATCAAATTAGATTGTTCCTATTATTTTAAATTCTATCAGTCGAGTTTTTTAAGAGCATAAAATTTATCTTTCTCAGGTGTCAGTTCGGCTTTTGGAGAAACAAAATGTTCGCCGTGTCCTTCTTGTCCACCATGCAATTCATGTCCTACTTGTGCACCACGCAATTCATGTCCTCCATGTCCTACTTGTGCACCAGGTCATGTACCATCACCACAATCATGTAATAATTGCCAGTCAGAATGCGATAATATAATACCGCTAGAGGATCAAGAACGAAATTCTGCCCTGGAAAATAACAGAGTGCGAAGAACAATATTTCCTGTCGACGTTCCTCCTCCTCCCCGTCCTCCTTATCGTCCTAAGCCCTGCCGGTCCAAAAAGAAGTGCAAAAAATGCAAAAAATGTCCTAAGAAACGATCATGTGTAAGTAATAAAATATTGCTTAATTTTAATCATATCATTCACGTTATATCGATATTTGGGATAGAATTAGCCTTTCCGATTACTGAAAACCATTGCCAGTGCAATAGTGACAGAACCTAAAAAATCTCATGGATGATTTCAAGGTTTAGTCTGTGTGCCTAAGGAAAGAAAAACTTTTTCGGAATAACTTATGCACTAATGATTGGGTTTTGATCGATTTTGGGATAGTGTTTGTCTTTGAAACTATTGGGTCAATATCTTCCAGATTGAGGCTACCTTGGAATTCAAGAGGTCAATAATCTAAATATATCAAAAAAAATTATGTTTATTCAAAGAAAGTGTTTTTTTGTCTGATTTCGTAGTTCATTGATCACTTAATACTAGTCAATACTAGTCAGCACAGTGGTTGATGCGAGCCAGATGTAGAATTCGTATCGACTAGCCCTGGCTGGGTTTCGAACCCGGTTTACCTCAATGGAAGACGAACGCTCTATCCCCTGTTGAAGTTCTTAAATATCTTTTTAATATTTTAGATGCTTTTTGGTTAGCAGAGGCAAGTTAAAAGTTGCCATAAATGTAGACCTTCGCCAACTTTTCTTTATATTATATCAATTTATTAAAATATTAATATTATTTTTATTTATCTTTTTGTTTAGAAATGCAAAAAATGTGATTGTCATTGTAAACCTCCACATGGGGCTCCAGCCCCATTCAATGGCTAATAAGTAAGTTTGTAAAGAAAATTGTTTTTACATACTATGTATAAACCAATTTAAAGTATTTGTAAATGTTTTTCTTGGGTTATCAAATTAAGTTTTTTTTTCTTTATTTGATCTTAACTTTATATCTTTGACTTTATCTAAATTTTTGTAAAATTTATCTGAAAAATTGTAAAATTTGTTTAATTATGTGAACTGAAATAGACATTTTTAAGCAAAGTAAAGAAGACTGACTTAATTTCAGTTGGTGAAAAAGCTAGGTGAAAAAATTTCCGACGGTCTTAAAATAACGGAATTGATATAGAGATGAGCACTTTGCATATAAAGATGCACGCTTTACTTCTTATGCTCTAAGGTATCATAAATTTTTCCAAATTTTACCACATTTACTAAACTTAATCAAGCATTTTAAAATTCTTTTACTTTTTATTTTATCAAAATCATTACCAAAGACTTTCGGTAAAAAGTACCCAATTTTTTGGGTTTCCCGTAGAGCCAGAAACATGTTAAATTTTACTGTATTCTGGTAGTTTTGATAATAGTTTTTTACAAGGTGGGAAACCTTTATCTATTAATATTTAATCTAATTTATATAAATTACAATTTTATTAATATACATTTAAATGCAACTTGAAAATTTCTTTTTAAATGTATAATTCATAGGTTTTCTTTGCATTCACAATTATAAATTTTAATGGAGACACAACAGTTCTAAGCCCAAATTCTATTACATATTCATAAGATGTATTAAAACCAAAGAAAAAGGTTAGGAAAAGAAAAAAAAAGATAAAAATAGAAGTATGCCAGTATGCAAAGTAGATGAAAATAGTTGTATGCCAGAGTGTAAGAAAATAGATTGAATAAGCGAACAACGCATTTCTGGATGACCTACGTTCGTAAAAGTTATCTTTTCCCCAGTCAATTATTAGAAACTAAAATGCAGCCCTAAGGTATTGTACTACATGCGTAAATTAATAATTGCAATTAAAACAAAAATATAGAACAGTTTTTATTGTATAAACTGCTTGTTTTTAAACTGTTATTTCAGTCAAACGTTTAGCTTTTTTCTGCCAAGGCGAAAGCAGAAATTTCATTGGTTTTGTGATCATATGCTCTTTAGTATTCTATGTCATATAGATGTTTATAATTACTTTTTTATTTCCATTTTTTAGAATTGTAGCTGTTAGAGTAAATGTAGATTCACCAATCAATGCAAACCTGATAAACTGGAGGCATCTGTTTCTAAACATGTGCAACAGAGTAGTTCTTGAAGCATCATCCTAACGAATAGAAGACTATTTTTGTCTTTCAAAAACATGTATTTGAACTAACATAATTAAAAATTCTATAACACATTCATTGTATGCTTTTTGATTTGCAATAAATATGTTTTTTAAAAAAAACAGATCATTATTATTATGCATCGTTGCTCAATATTTATAAGACTTAGAAACCTGAAATTGCGAAGGTGTGCAGGCTATTGTACAAGGAGTTAGAGGGAATTAGAAAAAACGATTTTATTATTAATTGCTAATTAGGATTATTAATTGTTAAACTTGTAGTGAAAAATACAGAGTTGAAATTAGATGTGCTGATGAGATTATTTTGAATTATAAACTTAACAAAACGTTTTTTTATTCGAAATTTATACTTGTTCAGTAACTAATGCAATTTTAAGTGTTTTTTTGCAATTATTTTCTTTAAATAATAATTTTTTATCCGTTGTAGAAAAATTATCTTTCTCACAATTTTTAATTTTATTAGCTCTTGCTTGACTTGATATAAAGCATTAATAAATAAAAAATAAGAGAAAAATTAGATGTTTCCAATTGAATTAAAAATTTGTAAAATATAGTTTAGAATATTAAATGAGTCAATGTACTTTTAACAAACTTTTTTTTTCAACTTACATGTTTTTATATTTTGCTTGACAGTGAATATACATCTGAAGAAATGTCAAAATTGTTTAAAATACCTGTGATTTTGTTAACTGTTCATTGGGTTATCAAAAAAAGTAATTGCGCAAAGTACCCTGGAGATATTTTCGTTGCACTTGTACTTGCACCATTTGCANGATTGTCATTGTGAACCTCCACATGGGGCTCCAGCCCCATTCAATGGCTAATAAGTAAGTTTGTCAAGAAAATTGTTTTTACATACTATGTATAAACCAACTTAAAGTATTTGTAAGTGTTTTTCTTGGGTTATCAAATTAAGTTTTTTCTTTATTTGATCTTAACTTTATATCTTTGACTTTATCTAAATTATTGTAAAATTTATCCGAAAAATTGTAAAATTTGTTTAATTATGTGAACTGAAATATACATTTTTAAACCAAGTAAAGAAGACTGACTTAATTTCAGTTGGTGAAAAAACTAGGTGAAAAATTTCCGACGGTCTTAAAATAACGGAATTGATATAGAGATGAGCAGTTTGCATATAAAGATGCACGCTTTTCTTCTTATGCTCTAAGGTATCATACATTTTTCAAAATTTTACCCCATTTACCAAACTTTATCAAACATTTTAAAATCCTTTTATTTTTTATTTTATCAAAATCATTATCAAAGACTTTCGGTAAAAAGTACCCAACTTTTGTGGGTTTCCCATAGAGCCAGAAACACGATGAATTTTACTATATTCCGGTAGTTTTGATTATAGATTTCTTGTAATGTGGGAAACCTTTATAGATGAAAATTTCATCCGAATTATATAAACTAAAATTATACTTATATTCATTTAAATGTGACTTGAAAATTTCATTTTAAGCAAATAATTCATAGGTTTTCTTTGTATCCACAATTATAAATCTTAATGGAGACACAGCAATTTTAAGCCCGTATTCTATTATAGATTTGTAAAATGTATTAAAACCAAAGAAAAAGGTTTTTAAAGTAAAAAAAAAAGATAAAAAAAGAAGTATGCCAGTATGTAAAGTAGATGAAAATAGTAGTATGCCAGAGTGTAAAAAAATAGATTGAATAAGCGAACAACGTATTTCTGGAGGATGACCTACGTTCGTAAAAGTAATCTTTCTCCCAGTTAATTATTTCAAACTAAAATGTTGCCCTAAAGTATTGTACTACATGCGTAAATTAATAATTACAATTGAAACAAAAATATAGAACAGTTTGTATTGTATGAATCGCTTGTTTTTAAACTTAAATTTCAGTCCAACTTTTAACTTTTTTTTCTCAAGGCGAAAGTAGGTTTTGTGATTATATGCTCTTTAGTATTCTATGTCATATAGATGTTTATAATTACTTTTTTACTTCTATTTTTTAGAATTGTATCTGCTAGAGTAAATATAGATTCACCAATGAATGCAAACCTGGTAAACCTGATGCATCTGTTTCTAAACATGTGCAGCAGAGTAGGTCTTGAAACATCATCCTAACGAATAACAGTCTTTTTTAGCCTTCAAAAACATGTATTTGAACTTAAACGTGTATTTGAACTTAAACATGTATTTGAACTTAAACATGTATTTGAACTTTAACATGTATTTGAACTTAATTGTTGCGCATTCATTGTATGCTTTTTGATTTGCAATAAATATTTTCTTTAAAAAGCGTATTATTATTATTATGCATTGTTGCTCAATATTTATAAGACTTAGAAACCTGAAATTGCGAAGGTGTGTAGACTATAGTGCAAGGAGTAAGATGGAATTAAGAAAACAGATTTTATTATTACTTGCTAATTCAGATCATTAACTGTTAAACTTGTAGTGAGAAATACAGAGTTGAAATTGGATGTTTCGATGAGATTATTTTGAATTACAAACTTAACAAGAAATGTTTTTATTTAAAATTTCTACTTGTTCTAAAACTAATGCAATTTTAAGTGGTTTTTTGCAATTATTTTCCTTAAATTATAATTGTTTATCTGTTGTTACAGAAAAAATTATCTTTCTCACAATTTTCATTTTATAAGCTCATGCTTGACTTGATATAAAGCATTAACAAATAAAAAATAAGAGAAAAATTAGATGTTTCCAATTGAATTAAAAATTTGTAAAATATAGTTTAGAATATTAAATGAGTCAATGTACTTTTAACAAACTTTTTTTTCAACTTACGAGTTTTTATCTTTTGCTTGACAGTGAATATACATCTGAAGAAATGTCAAAAATGTATAAAATATTTGTGATTTTGTTAATTGCTTATTGGGTTATCAAAAAAAGTAATTGCGCAAAGTACCCTGGAGATATTTCCGTTGCACTTGTTTATGTACTTGCATCATTTGCATTAAAAATTTGCATCAATCAGATTAAAAAAAATTAGTAGCATTTGAACCTTGTTTCTTTAATAGACTAACGTTAAAAGTAGTTGGAATGACTAGCTACATACGAATGTTTTTTGAATCACATTGCTTAGTATATAACTTCTTTTTTTAACTGCAACGAATCACACTTCGCTAGTTTCGACCACTGTCTTACATGAATTGTCAACAGATCAAACATATTTAAACAAAAATCAAATTTGCTATTTCGAAAGCCATTTGAAAATGAAAACCATTTCAATTGCCATTGAACAGGTTTTGACTGATATCAGGCATTAGATTATCTACAGTGCTTATCGAAATAATAGCCGAAGACATCAAATAATGGAAAATACTTTTAAAATTTGTAAGTATTAATTGTCAATAAGAAGTACTTTTCTTGGTAGAAGGAAATTCTAGAATAATCTTTAAAATTTTTTTTAGGAACTATTTTGTGACAGTAAATTGATTTAATGAAACTTTTATTACGAGACTATTTAAAAACAAAAGTCCGCCTTATAAATACTCGCAACAAAATGTTTATTTTCACTAGATTTGCAATATTATTGTAGTTTGATTTTACTTTGAAACTGTGCTGGTTGTCGTAGAAATATCTAAATAAGTTGATCATCACGCTATGAAATTAAGGGGTCTAAATTGTTCTTCCTAACAAAATTGAAGAAGACCTGTTTTATTCTGATCAATTCGGCACCAAGTACAAAACAATACTCAAAATACTTTCTAAGTTACCACAAAAATACTAAAACTCACTCGCTGAAAACAAAGAAACACAACCCGAGTATCCCCGAGTCGATTACCAAGTGTCAGCAAAAAATATTTTTGGTGGTCTTCCCCATTAATAATAGTAATAAATATTTATGAAGTAAAATAAATTTAGTCATACCCTTGAAAATAAATAAAAATCTGAAGTTTTTAATCGTTTTTTTTTTTATAAAAATGAGTTACAAAATACTTGTATAATGCACTTTTTTTTAAGAATTGTGTAGATAGAAAAAAAAAACGAAAGAAAAATATTGTAGCCTTAGCAATTTCAGAAGAACAATAACAGTTATAAATCTCACCCTTTTATATTTTGAAATAATTTTATTTAATAAAGAAAAAAATTAATAATAGTGAATAGCATTTTGTTTTACTGCATATTTTAACAAGCGAAAACGGTAAACATGAACGAAATATTTTATTTTATAACGGTCGCTGAACAGCAGACCCAATTTTTTGTGTTTACGACAGCTAATGTTTAAGATATGATTTTTTGTTCTGTAAAAAATTCTTTTCCGTAAAAGTGTTCAAACGGAAGTTTAATTTCTTCCTTGTCAACCGTGTTGACAAAAGAAAGTACAATGAATTTTTTTTTCTTAACCTATATTTCTGCAAATCGCATAGCATTCAAGTTCCAGTTTTAACTTAATTTACAAAAGATATAACTTCTTTTGTTTTGTCATGAAAATGAAAATATAAATGAATGTGCATTTAGATATAAAAATAGGAGAAATTTTTTTAATGAACACGTATTTATGGAATGTTTTAAAAATGTATTTTTATGATATGCTTTTTATAATGCATTTTTATATTTTGAACATCAATAACTTCTTTTTATGTTGCAACGTTAATAAACGATTTTAAAGATTTATTAATCGTTCATAATGAATCGAATAATACTGAGTACTCGAATATAAACGTGAATTTTTTTTACTATCGTTATTTTTTACTATCATTGTTTTAAATGTAACTTGATAGTAAATTTCTTATTTCGACTTATAATAATAGGATAGATTTAAGCAATCAATATTTATACTTTGTTCGCAATTTTTTAGTACCATCGGTTATATTGTAAAATTTATTACCAATAACCACATTAATAAGTATTGTTTACGTAAGCAGACATTAAAAAATCAATCATTAATAAAATATACTTTCAATTCACAAAAATAATTGTCCGATATGGGCTTTTTTAATAAGTATGGTAATAGGTATAGTATATTTAATTTTATAACCGTCGTTGAACAGCCGACCCAATTTTTTGGGTTTACGACTACTAATGTTCAACTCCGTAGCCTTGTAATTTTGAACCCATGGGAACTCCTGGACCAAGCATTGGGAGAAGTTTGCCTTCATCCAGGACTTTTTGATGGAACTAACTTGCATTTGTCTTGCATTGAGAGAAAAACCACGAAACTCTCTCACGGTTATGCTGAAGGCAAGGGAATTTGCATATACATGAGGCAAAGGCTTGGCGCTTTTAAAACATTTCTTTTGGATATTATGAAAAAATACATTGATATAATTTTTAATTTGTTAATATTTAAGAAACTTTAAAATTATTATTATTTAACGAAAAGCAAAAAGAAAAAAGAGCTGAACTAAATAGTATATAAATGTAATAATTAAATTTGAAAAAAGTAAAAGCTAAAAAAGACAGTATTTTGAACTTTTTTTTTCATAAAAAAAAGTTCAAAGCTGTTCTTTGTGAATTTGAAAAACTATTAAAAATTTTAGATGAGTATTTTCTTAAAAAGAATTCAGCAACAGGATGTTCAAGGACTGTGCGTTCTTCTTCTAACATTTTCACAATTCGTTAATTTTTCCGGCAAATCTGATGCCAACTTCCGCCTACTTATTTTTGTTAGAAATTTAGTAATAATTGTTTTTGTGAATAGGCCAATTGTTGCACCGAATATTTGCAGCGTTCTATATTATTTCTTTACAGAACGTAGCCTATCTTTAAAAATGTTTTTCTAGGAACATTGTGATACTTGAAATCAATAAAATCAAGTCCACGTAAAAAAAGAAAGAAAAGAACTGTGCTAAAAAAAACAAGAAAAAAACGGACCACCTTGAAAAAATTTATTTTAATGACTGGGTCTTCACATTCTAGGACTTAATCTTAATGGCTTAAGAGTGTGACCTCAAATATGCAAATAAATTAGTGCAGACGATATTTTAAGTTACGAAATCAGATACAAAAAAGTACTTTATCTGAATATAAACAAACCTTTTTTCCCCACGAATTCGGTTTTTTGACCCCCAAAATAGAGGGGATATCTGGAAAATATGGTCCTAACAGTTTGGCCAGAACACTCCAAAGTTTGGATCCTGTACTGTACTAATTTTACTTTTTGCGTATTTCACTATATCCCGAGAACTTTTTAAGCGAATTGAAAAATTTTTTCTTATAATTCTAAAATTTGTCTATCCAAGGACAATATTAAGCAAAAATAACTTTTAGAAAATATTTACTATTTTTCATAATTTTCTTTTAATAATGATCAAAAATTTTTCAGATTGTCAGGCATAGAAGTTTTGCATCATTTTAAAGAACATAGTTTTACATAGCAAAATACAAAATTTCAGCAAAATCGGTTGAATAGTTCCTGAGAAATCAAATTTCAAATATCAGATTTTTTTGAAATTCAATNTTTTTTTTTAAAAAAAAGTTTTTATATGGATTTGAATGATTGTTTTGAATTCTTAGAATTTTGTGCATTTGCAATGTACCTAAGTTAGTAGCGAGTGAAGCGAGCTTGGTTTGCGAGGCAAGCCATATAAGATTGCGCAGCAATTTTCGGGGGTTGGGGAGCGTAAGCGAGCAGGGGGAGCAGCCCACTAGTTTCAAAAATTTTCGCACTTGTTTCTGTTAAATATATGCATAAAAACTGAAATTTTACATTTTCTCTTAGTCTATAGTTCAAAACATGCGGTCTATAATCATAGAATTTGCTCATGAAAAATTGTTGACAGTTATTTTAAAAACAACATGAGATATCATGTTTAAGGTGGTATAAAATGGGAGAAAATCTGATTTTGAGATAAAAACGAATTTAAAGAATTAAAATCATTTGTCTATCCACTGTTATCGCCTTGCAGAAAAAATGCAATAATTAGAATACAGACAAAAGTAAAGTATTTTCAGAAAGCTAAGAATACAAGATTTCTAAATTTATAATAATCTCAATTTTTGCACAAGTCAGATACCTTAAAGCATTTTAAACAAGTCATATACTGATAAAAAGAAAATAGAATGATTATAAAGCTTTTAAACTAATAATAGACCTTGAAAAGGGAAAATTTATAAAATTATAATTTAACTGAAGGAATGTATTAAATTTTGTATTTATATTTAAAATTAAGCAAAGAAATGTAAAATTTGAACCTGATATTGCTGTTCTTTGCGAATTTGAAAAACTATTAAAATTTTTAGATGAATATTTTCTTAAAAAGAATTGAGCAACAGGATGTTCAAGGACTGTGTATTCTTCTTTTAACATTCTCACAATTCGTTGATTTTTCCGGCAAATATGATACCAACTTCCGCCTACTTATTTTTGTTAGAAATTTAGTAATAATTGTTTTTGTGAATAGGCCAATGTTGCACTGAATATTTGCAGCGTTCTATATCATTTCTTTACAGAAAGTAGCCTATATTTAAATTTTTTTTCCTAGGAACGTTGTGATAGGTGAAATTAATAAAATCTAGTCCACGTAAAAGAAAAAAAAAGAACTGCACGAAAAAAAAAAAAAAACGGACCACCTTGAAAAATTTTATTTTAATGATTGGGTCTTCACGTTCTAGGACTCAATGGCTTAAGAGTGTAACCTCAAATCTGCAATTAAATTAGTGCAGACGATATTTTAAATTACGAAATCAGATACAAAAACGTACTTTATCTGAATATAAACATACCTTTTTTTCCCACGAATTCGGATTTTTGACCCCCAAAATAGAGGGGATATCTGGAAAATATGGTCCCAACAGTTTGGTCAGAACACTCCAAAGTTTGGATCCTGTACTGTTAATTTTACTTTTTGCGTATTTCACTAAATTCCGAGAACTTTTTAAGCGAATTGAAAAATTTTTGCTCATAATTCTAAAATTTGTCTATCCAAGGACAATATTAAGCAAAAATAACTTTTAGAAAATATTTACTATTTTTCATAATTTTCTTTTAATAATGATCAAAAATTTTTCAGATTGTCAGGCATAGAAGTTTTGCATCATTTTAAAGAACATAGTTTTACATAGCAAAATACAAAATTTCAGCAAAATCGGTTGAATAGTTCCTGAGAAATCAAATTTCAAATATCAGATTTTTTTGAAATTCAATTTCTCAGGAACTATTAAACCGATTTTGCTCTAATTTTGTGCCTTATCATGTAAAATTATATTCTTTTAAATGATACAAAAATTTGTATACCTTACAAAATTTTTAAAAATTCAGAAATTTTGTATTAAAATTTTTGTTCCTTTGAAAAAAGCAATGTCTTTTTATTTGAATAAAAAGTTTAAATTAGTTCTCCCATTATCAATAAATTAATTCGCCAAATTTTCAAATTAATTCACTCAAGATGTGATGTCTTGTAATGAAGACTTGCCTCGCAGTGATAAAATATTTTTTAATGGCTAGAAATATTACTGGCACAATTAGATTTTCTGAGAGATAAGTTTTTGGTTGTTCATTAAAGGTATTGCCTGGATTCAGACGTATAGCCAGAAATAAATAAGCTATCGCAGATAATCATTGGAATGCTGAATGTTTCAACATTTACTTGAACAATATTTTTTAAACAATCAAAGCACATTATCTGAATAATGATGCGCTGTGATTCTGTAGATAGTCACAAAATCAATCCTAGACATACTCGGAATTATGCAGGAAGGATACAATATAATTGTACAAGATTTCGCAAAAGATATGTCTTCCAAATGGACAAAAATCAAGATGAATTACTTAGAAGAACTTATAGATTGTGTCTAATTGTCTAAATTGTAAAATTGTGTCAAATAAAATTTATGAGATTATTTTGAAAAGTTTGGGAACAAAGTTATTTAACACTATTTGTTCTAAATATGAAATAACATAGTTATTGAAATAGCACACAATATACTTCTTTTTCAAACATAACTATAATTTGTATTGTTCGACATTTTATTCCGATATACGAATATTTTAAACATATAATTAATAATAATTAAGTACAGAAGTACCAAAAGGTATGAAGATTCATGAAGAAAAGTAAGCTACATTCAAGAAAAAATTAAAAAAAAAGTTTACACAAAAACAATTTTCTTACGATCTTTGCGAATACTGACAAAAGGGAAAAATGTAGACAGAAAAACAGATTCTGTAGAAAGTATAATGACTAATAAGTACCAAATTTTAGGTTAATACATCCTGTATAGTGAATTCATTTTTTGAATTCAAAAATTCATTTTTTATAAGAAAAAGTCCAAAATAAAAATATTTTACACAAAGGTAACTTCTTCACGATCGATATGAGTATCGGCTTAATAAAGAATGTATAACCAAGCGGTTGTACTAAAACCAAAAAGTATTATACGAACTGATACGGACAAGATAATAAATAAACAAACCGCAATTTTTAAGCTTTCATAGTTTTTATCGTTCTTCATATTTAACTTTTTTAGAAGTAAAATACTGAAGTAAAAAGAAAAATTACAAGAAAATAAGTTTTTTTGCAATTTTTGTAAATGGTGTGAAATCGATCATACTTTAGATCTTTTTTTTTCGGTTTCCTTAATTTACGCTTAATTTTTGAATAAAATAAATATCAAAAACTTATGCTTGGTGCTATTGTCTTAATTATCTTTAAGTTAATACAATGGCGCATTTGTTTTTATTTTATAAAGATTTAAATATAATTCTGAAAACTTTAATCTAAAAAACTATTGAGGAATTTACATAAAACAAATCGTAATTTGTTAAAAAATATCTGATATTTCCAAACTTTAATCGTATTTTGGAAAATTTTATAATTCAATTCTATTTTCAAGTACACTGTTATAGTATATTCTTAGAATTCGTTAAACACACTCCAAGTCATTCGTGGTAATGCAAACAATAGGAACTCGTAAGAATAAGTCCAGTTCATAGAATTGTTTTAAATTCGTCAAAATTAGGATTAAGTTATTTAGTTTAACACAATTATACTTTTATTTTTGTCGTTTAAAGCCAGAACAGTTATATATAAAGTATACTTTTTAATAGACCAGTTTTGTTTGCCACTCTTTAGATTTAAAAGTGACATTTATATCGAAGAGATGATTGCAAAAATCAGTATTTTTATCCTTATTTTCTACATTTCTTGTTTGGGATTCATAGATACAGGTAATTAATCGAATATGTTTATGTTTCATTTCTGAAATTTTTGACATAACTGTGTAACAGATTTGAAAATTATTTACATATCTTTGCTTTAAATTGGTTTATAAAAACATTCTCTCCTGATTAATCAGTAATATTATTTAAAAACAAAAATTATTTTTTTTTCTGCTTTATATTTCTATTGTTTTACGTTAAATAAATTTGAAAACTATGAATTTAGAATTATGATATATAAATTTATATTTGTGATTTTTCGTCAATCATAACAAGAAAGCTTAGGATTTGAAATAAAATATTTCTGCATCTTGAAAGCGTAATAGATCTTGAAAACATAACATGAATTTCAAGTGTTGAAACATGTGCGTGTTAAAAAATTTTAATCAAGTTTTATTTTTAGGAAGAAGAAAAAAATCATTTTAATTTACTCAAAGAAATTTCACAAAACTTAAAAACTAAAAGGAAGGCGTTAAGTAGTTACGCCGAAGTGGCGTAATTACTCAATTTATGGAATTCATATTTCAAATTCAGAGAGCGGGGATACATTCTTTAATCTTGATGTCCCCTAAATTCGTATTTTGAATAGAAATTTAGTTCATTATAGTCAGGAATGCATTTGTAAATTTATTGTAATTGAATTTATTTTTCATTTTTAAAATTTTTAAATGGCTAAATTATAAATTTTATTACATATTTAAATTTACTTTTGTTCAATTTTTTTAAGAAACTAATTCTGCAACTAGAAAAAGAATATCAAATTTTTTAATACTTCAAATTTTAATTCTTACTCAGCATGTTAAGTAGCAAGTTATAAACAATGCTATTTATTATACCCGAACTTATTGTAGAGTATAATCTTGCGTTTAGTGAACTAAAATTTACAAAATATCTTTAATAGATTCGTTAGGCATAGCAATTATGAAAATAATAATTTTTGTGCAAAGCTAAATAAAACTATTCACTGGGAGTTTATTTTAATTTAAAATTTGTCAATTTCGTTAAAAAAATATGTCAAAATGACTCCTTTACGTTAAAAAAGAAGCAAAACTGAACTCAAATGTAAGAAATCACTAGCCCTATTTCGAATGATTATTTACAATAAAAAAAATAGCTCAAATGTAAGAATTATTTAGCCTTATTTCGAACGTCTTCTTTATACTAAAAGCAAGAAGAAAAAATTACATCAAATGTACGAAATGACTGGCCTTATTTTGTGCATTTCCTGTTAAAAAAAAACAAAGAATTTTATATTTAAGAGCTAGTTTATTTATTCGGAAATTGATAGCAAAGATTTTTCTTTTCATTTTCTTTTCATTTATGACTGCTTCTTTTCTAAATATTTCCTTTATTTTAACAAATTTTAGCTGATTTTAACATATGTTAGTCGAAATTATTTTAAAATATGTCTTGAAATAAAATCATTATTCTTCTTAAAGAGAAAATTAAGGACATTTTACACTGTTAAGATATCGCTCTAAGTCAGTTATATCAGTTTTCAGATCTATTCGTGGTAAATTAAATTGACACTTGGAACGCATACTTAAACTCGTGGTAAAAAAAAGATCCCTTGTAAAATTTCAGACCAAGAAACTTGGTTTAGAATTAGTAAGTGTGAAGTAAAGTGATTTCAGTTTAAATATATATAGCTATCGTAGATAATCATTTGAATGCTGAATGTTTCAACATTTACTATACTAAAACTCACTCGNTCTTCTCTGTAACATAATATGTTTTAGCCACATAATTACCTTGAACGGCCAACTTGAGTACATTTTCCTGGATGTATACGTTAGATTGACGTGGCTCCAGATTTTGCGTGCGTGGAACTAGATTGATGAATAGTTTTGTTTATTTCAAAAAACAGTTTTAGCTTAAGTATATTAAATCACAAAAAAACGTTGCTTATTTGTAAAACTCTTTATTTTTTGTTTGTTCGAAAGGATTTTAATAATTTCAATAGAAGTGGAATCATTAAAATTTAAATTTTCATTTCAAAATTTTTCGGAAGGTTATAGTTCTATTGTTTATGCCTTCTTATTTACCACTTAAAGAAGAAATTAATGCGGAGAGAAGAAATTAACAATAAGCAAACAGAGCATTTTGGTGGTTTGCTGAATGTGAAATTAAAAAGAAAATCGAATCTGGGAAACGGGATATTTTAAGTTTTAAAATACGAAAAATGTTTCGTTATGAATTTTCCCTTAAATTACAAGGACTCAAAAATCATTCGAACATTTATAAGTATCTAGTTTCTGCGGCAATGGTGCAATTGTCAAAAAGGCTCAAATTTAATGTAGCAATAATTTAATAAATAAAATCAACAAAACAGTACACATAGTATGCTGAGCGATTATAAGACTACCTAAGTCTTAAGTCTTTTATTTCATTTCATGCTTGCATCGCACGTGATTCAATTATGTAATTTCTTTTATAATTAATTTCATAATATCGAAACGCTATGTTAAAGAAACAGAAATTCGCAACAGAGGTTGTAAAAAATATAGCTAGATATTGTGAAATAATATAGTTTAGGTATAAATAAGAATTAATGAACGATGTAAGAGAAGTTAAAAAGTTACACTGCCTACGGGGTTTCGAAACGAGGTTCATCAAAATTTTGTATATTTTTGCGTATGGTAAATGCATCTTTGTTTCAGTTCTTGAGTTTTTCTCTGCGTACGTACGTTACCTCTTACATATTACATCTGCTATTTAATATAAAGCTTAGTTCTAGTTATTTCATGACATAACTGATAAAGTTAGTTGAACAATCTGGTATTCTAAAGTTTAACTTGCTCGTCTACAAAAGTACAGTTTCCAAAATGGTGAAATGAGTTGTTGGAAACAATATTTCAGAAATTATTGAGCTAGTTTAAACTGCACATATTATCAAAGTGGCTACCGGCTTTATATGGTGCAAAAGTTATCCATATTATCACATTTTTTAAACTGTACTACAGTTCAGTTCGAGCAAAAAACTGATTCAGTTTAATACCTTGAAGTTGCTACAAATTGGCACTGTAATATGGATTAAGGTACTGATATTATAGTTCAAAGTTTAATCAATTGTTTGAGAATTTAAAGTCTTAACTGGATTAATGAATGGTTCATGAAAATTAGAGTTTCAATTGAGGGGAGGGGGAAGATACTTCAAAATATAAAATGTTTTTTCTTTATTTCGCATATTTGATATATCATGCATTTTTGGGGACCATTGAAACATGGTATATGCATGTTTTCGGTGGTTTTCAGCCCGTTTCTATGCCAGTAAATAACAAACCCTCTTTTTCTACGAAAGTTTATTTTTCTTCTCTGTAACATAATATGTTTTAGCCACATAATTACCTTGAACGGCCAACTTGAGTACATTTTCCTGGATGTATACGAATATCATAATAAATTAAGACTGAATCCTTAACGCCTTACATGCCTTACAAAATGATTAAACCCGTAAAACAAACGTAAATAAAATTCTACTAAATAAATTGGCATCTATAATGCTATTTATTCGTCCATAGCTAAAAAAAGATTTATCGTTTAGTAGTGTTAATGCTTGTTTTAATTGTATACAATTGGGATTCAATAAAAAGCTTTTAAAAAAATTATAAATCAAACATGGGCGTGAAACAATTTGCAAGTCTTTTACATAAATGTTTTACTTGTAAGTTGATTTTATATAAGTTTGTGATAAGACTTTAAGAATTCTTTTTTATATTACGATTTAAACTATAAAGGAATTCCTTTAATAATCTCGCTTAAATATTAATTTCAGCATTTTTATAAAAAGTAGAACTTGCAATTTGCACTTTAACCGATTACACATTAAAATTATTTCAAAATTGGATAATTTTATCATTTTATGTGCTTTTAGAATAAAAGCATTGTTAGCCACATGAAAATTAAATTTTTAAATTTTAATTCCCCCCTCCCCCACTAGACATATTGCTGTCGATTCTTTTGAAAACAAGTTATTCTGTTTTTTGCGTGGTGTGAAGTAAAACACATAGTATTCCGCTTAATTTGAACAGAAGAAACAAAAATCAAATTAATTGAAGATTACGAAATGAATAAATATTTTCGAGGTAAAAGTTTGCGTATTTGTTATCATTTTCGAGACATTTTTCTATGTTTTTCTTTCGTTAAGTTAGTCAAAAATTAATTTTTGCTCATTTTTACCAATAAGTTATGTGGAAAGGAAGTAATGAGGGGGGGGGGCAAAAGCAATTTTGCATAAATTTTTTTCATCAAGTACTTACAGTATCATTTGAACTAGTAAATTATAAAAAATTAGAAAAATAAATGGGGAGAAGAAATTTTGCAAATTTTTTTACCAACATGTTACTGAATTATAATAAAATATAATAGTTAATCCCAAAGGTAGATACAAAATTCTTTTTTTGAAATTTTTAAGCGAAGTGTTGTAGAAACAGAAATAAATGGCAAGTCATAAGAAAAAAAGGGGTGACGGGGCAAAATGTACTTTTATACATTTTTCAAGCATCATAGGAATAAGAAAACAAAACAAACCGAAAAATAGTAAATCATTAAAAAAAGTTATCAATAAAAGATTTTTTTACATTTTCATCATCTAGATGAATAAAATTATGAAAAATAGTTAACATATGGATATAAAAAGTAAGATATATATATATGGGTGATTCTCACGAATCATGACAATTCGGACCAAAAAATTTATTCAAATTTAAAGTCTTCAAAATAATCTAAATTTTTTTGTATACTTCTTTAGCCACACTTATTAATATCTTATAGACAGCAGTGTAGTTTATTGACATTTGCACGAGAAAAAAAATAGAAATTCACCAAATCTTGAATACCAGGAAAATGACATATTACCTTAGAAATTTAAAAAACAGTCATTTTAAGTTAATAGTAAGTAACTCAACTTAAGCCTTTATGTTAGATGGACCATAAATTGCTTAAATTAATTCTTTTTATCCATTGTAGAAAGAAACAAAAAATTGTTTGTTCCTGATATGCGCAGAATAAAATTGTGCATAATAATCAATCATTATATAAATAAATAACTTTGATTACATCCAAGCATATTATAATCATACATAAACTTGTTATTAGGTTAATATTTGCTTTCCCTCTTTACAGTATTAGCAGTTAAAAAGAATTTCTGGTAACACTTCAATGTCCTGGCATTCATAAGCCAGGAAAATGACAAATTCGCCATTTTATAGCATATAACTTTACTTTAATTTAATATTTTGGC